AGATGCTTAATTTACCCTTACCGGTGCTCCAACATCTGTAAAATGCTATCAGATGCGAGAAAAACAGAGGAAGAAAACTCTGAATTAATTCATTAAGATAGATGGTAAATATATATATATATATATATATAGATGGTAAATATATATATATATATATATATATATATATACACACAAAAATATCTGATTTGGACAAGTGGGCCAGCTGTCGGGTGGTTGTTTGAATGCAAGAGGCTTTCTGTTACGACTGTTATAACAACAGTTGGTATATGCTAACACCCCCTCCTTCAAGTTGGTGCATGAAGGACTTGAATGCCCAACTTGGGCACTAGATGATGGAACTTGTCAGATCCAAGAGCCTTTGTAAAGAGGTCAGCTGGTTGAGAGTTGCTAGGCAGATGGAAGGTCTTTATTTCACCACTTTGGACATGTTCGCGTACAAAATGGCAGTTGATGTCGATGTGTTTAGTATGTTCATGGAACACAGGATTAGCAGCTATGTGAAGTGCCGCCTTGCTGTCACAATGTAATTGCATGACGGGGATGTTGATGGTTAAGTCGTGAAGGACTCTTTTCAGCCATAAGAGTTCAGCAGTGGCGGTGGCCATGGCACGATATTCAGCTTCAGCGGAGGACTGAGAAACAGTAGTCTGCTTTTTTGTCTTCCATGAGAGTGGTGAAGTGCCTAACAAAGTAAGATATCTGGTAGTAGATCTCCGGGTTAGTGGGCAACTAGCCCAATCTGAATCACAGTATTCACATAGCATGGGTTCACTCGTAGCATTGAAAAAAAGGCCATTCATGAAAGTACCCTTCAGATATCGAACAACACGAAGGGCGGCATCAAGATGCTCTTGTCTTGGCGTTTGCATGTGCTGACTAAGGCAGTTAACAGCAAAACTAATATCAGGCCTTGTGACAGTTAGATAAACTAAATGGCCCACAAGGCGACGGTAACGGGTTGGATCTTCAAGAAGAGGGCTAGTGGAATCAATGAAGTGACGTTGCTGCTCATGGGTATGGGAGAAGGTATGCAATCTATCAGTCCACATTCTTCAATGATATCTTTGAGATATTTGTGCTGAGTGAGAGAGAGACCTGAAGGGGAGCGAGTAACTTCCAACCCCAAGAAATATTGAAGTGAACCAAGGTCTTTGATGTGAAATTGATCATCGAGGTATTGCTTAATGAAAGAAATGCGAGACGGATCATTGCTCGCAATGATGATATCATCAACATAAACCAAAATCGCAGTGTAGGAATCACCTTGGCTTTGTGTGAAAAGAGAGTAGTCTGCATTGGACTGTTTAAAGCCAAGAGAGAGGATGGCTTGAGTGAATTTGGCAAACCACATTCTTGAATCCTGCTTGAGCCCATAGAGAGATTTTTGTAATTTGCAAAGCTTTTGAGTCCCTTCTTTGGCAAACCCTTGAGGATGGTCATATAAACTTCTTCATGGAGGTCACCATGTAAAAGGGCATTGTTAACATCAAGTTGGTGTAGTTCCCATTTGTCTGATGGCAGCAACGGCCAATAGGCATCGTACAATCACTAGTTTTGTCACTGGAGCAAATGTATCATGGTAGTCAAGACCTTCAACTTGTGTATAGCTTTTGGCGACGAGCTGGGCTTTAAATCGTTCAATGCTGCCATCAACTTTGTACGTGATTTTATATATCCATTTTGATCCAATAGCACGCTTTCTTGGTGGTAGGTCAACAATGGTCCAAGTGTTGTTCTTTTCAAGGGCTTCAATTTCTTTGGCCATGGCTTCTCTCCATCTTGGGTCAGAAAAAGCTTGAGCAAAGGTAGTGGGTTCATGGGCATTGGTACTAATTCCAATGTTGAGCACGACATTGGTGTTTGCATTTGAAATGGAAGGCGGGAGTTGCACAACATAATCATTGGAATGTGAAGGTAATCAAATTGTTCTTTGAGGCCTAGTGACTTGTTCATGAATGTGGTCAGGGTTGTTTGTGTTGGAATTGTGGTCAGGGATCGGTTCATCAGTAGGCTCAGTTACGGGCATGATGGTGGTGGTAATGGTGGGTTCATTAATTGGTATATTAGTGGGTTCTTGGGGATGGTGCTGATACGGGTGGATAGGTGTTAGTTAATGAATTTGAGGGTTGTGGTAAAGGTATGACAGATGTGGAAGAGGTTATGGGAACATTAATGTCAATGTTCTGAAAAGGGATTGTGGATTCATAAAAAACTACATCTCTAGAGGTGAAAATGCGATGAGAAGTAAGGTAAAAAATTTTGTAACCCTTTTGCCCATGAGGATAACCCACAAAAATTCCTTTAGTGGCTCGACTAGCAAACTTGTCCCTTGGACATGGACGAACTTGGGCGTAGCATAAGCACCCAAAAGTACGAAGATGCCTGTAGTCAGGAGGTTTGTGATAGAGTACCTCAAATGGTGATTTGCCTGATAATCGCGGTGTTGGGAGCAAGTTTATGAGATAATTTGCTGTAAGGAGACATTCCCCCCAAAATGTTGTAGGGAGGGAAGCTTCAAACTGAAGAGCTCGAGCGACTTCAAGTAGGTGGCGATGTTTGCATTCAGCAACGCCATTCTGCTGGGGTGTATCCATGCAAGATCTTTGATGAATGATACCTTTAGTAGTATAATATTGTTGCTTAGCCTTTGAAGTGAATTTAGAACCATTGTCCGAACGTATGCATTGTACACCACAGTTAAATTGTCGCTTTACCATGGCACAAAAAGCAATGAGAAAAAACAGCCTCTGATTTATCCCTTGAGAGATAAACCCAAGTGCATTTACTAAAATCATCAACGACAGTGAGAAAAAAATGGGCTCTAGAGTGAGATGCAGTTCGGTAACCTCCCCAGATATCACAGTGCACAAGCTGGTAAGGAGCGGTGGTGCTGGATACCCAAACTAGAAATGGAATTCGTGTTTGTTTAGCATGATGGCATGAATCACAACAGAAATCTCCCTGTGTGACGGGTATGCCGCTGATGAGTGAGATGCGTTGTCATGAGGCATGGCCAAGACGTCTATGCCATGTGATGTTATCTATAGTGGAAGAAACAACTACATGTGCTGAAGATGACTGTGCAGGGGTTGTAAAATGGTAGAGGCCATCACAGAGCTTGCCCACTCCAATCACTTTCTTGGAGGCAAGGTCCTGAAGAACACAAAATGACCAAAAAAATATAGCCGCACAGTTGAGCTGATTGGTTAGTTTGCTTATAGAGAGTAGATTACATCTAAACTGTGGGAGATGCATAACATTATGTATAGTATGGGAACCAAGATTCACAGACCCCTTATGAGCGGCTGAGATAGAAGTTCCATTTGGTAGGCTAACAAGCCTCTTATGACTCAAACACTGGGATGTTGTAAACATAGACTCAGATGCAAGCATGTGGTCAGAGGCACCACTGTCAAGAATCCAATTGGGAGGAGGTAGAACCTTACCAGAGGTATTGGCCAAAGCAAATTCAGACCTGTCATTATTAAGAAGAGAAAGAAGTTGATTGTATTGATTCATCGTGAGCCCTGGGATGGAAGAGCTAGCAGCAGTCTCTGAAGATTCAGTAGCTACACATGATGTAGATCGAGGTTGATGTGGTGGACCCTTAGAATCAGACCGTCGGCTTGATCGATTCTTTTCCCAATTCTCCGGATATCCAATTAGCTCATAACAGCGGTCTTTGGTGTGACCATTCCGTTTACAATGATCACAGCGCAGTCGTTGCTTGGCTTGTCCATTTGAACCCGATCCTCGTCCATTTGGTCTAGTAGAGGCATTAAGTGCTTCTGCTTCTGGCTGACCAGGAGATTTGCGCAGAGATACGGTGAATAGATGCTTTTCTTCTTGAGTGACAAGAGCATATGCACGACTCATACTAGGCAGTGGATCAGATCCAAGAATCGCAGATCTAATTGAATTGAAGGAGTCATTGAGTCCCATGAGAAACTGATGTAGTTTCTCCTTGTCTCTTTCAGCAGCAAGAATCTTTGCTGCTCCACACGAGCATTCAGGTATGGTTACGAGTGTTCCTAACTCATCCCAGAGTGTCTTGAGTCTGGTGAAATAACCAGTGACTGTGACTTGCTGGAGAAGAGCCAGGTCCCGTTTCAGTTGATGTATACGAGGAGTGTTACTCTGTGAGAACCGTTCTTCGAGCTCCTTCTATATTTCAGCTGCGCATTCTATGAATGTTACGCTGTTGCATATGTCACGGGACAATGAATTGAGGATCCACGAGGTAACCATCGCATTGCATTTCGTCCAAGCTGATTCTTCCGGTGATGCAGCATCAGGACATGGCAAAAATCCATCAACAAAACAGAATTTGTTCTTTGCCTTTAAAGCTGTCTTCATCGCCCGTTGCCATGTCGGGAAGTTTTCTCCGACGAGTGGAGATGAAACCAACACCGCTCCTGGATTGTCCGATGGGTGCAAGAAATACGGTGAGCTTCCATCGATTTCGAACGCCATTACCAATCTTGAAGAAACGAAAACCTAAGGATCTTGCGCCGCTCTGATACCATGTAAAATGCTATCAGATGCGATAGAAACAGAGGAAGAAAATTCTGAATTAATTCATTAAGATAGATGGTAAATATATATATACTAAAAGATCTGATTTGGACAAGTGGGCCAACTTGGCCAACTGTCAAGTGATTGAGGGCCAGCTGTCGGGTGGTTGTAAGAATGCAAGAGGCTTTCTGTTATGACTGTTATGACAACAGTTGGTATATGCTAACAACATCCCATCCACTCTCCAAGAGCCCATGAATCCATAGGAAACAGCTTCTGAAGGCAGGGACTTATATAAAGGTTGATTATCAGTTTGCATATTGTTTTTGGATGACCATTTCATTCTGTTTTTTCACAATTATTCTTCTGAAGGCCAAACTTGAGTAAAGTGATCTGTTAATTTGTTTATTTGTAGATTTAGATATTATTTAATTCATGGTATTTACTGTATATTCTCTTGTTTTTGGTGTATATTTTTGTAGATTCTCCTGGAACTACAAGTTTATGGGTTGTCAGATTCCATGAAGAGCAGAGAAGGGAAGAAAGATGAACAGTCAAGATTTGGGGTTTCCTCTTATGGTGGTTCACCAATGGTTAATGGCAATGCTGGGAATATGGATTCCAGTTGTTCTCTAACCAACTCTTCAGTCTTTGGTGGAGGCTCTGGAGAATCCGGTTCTTTGGGGTTGACAGGATTACAGAATCTTGGAAATACCTGTTTCATGAATAGTGCCACCCAGTGCTTGGCACATACACCTAAGCTTGTTGACTATTTTCTTGGAGACTACAATAAGGAAATAAATCAGTACAATCCACTGGGGATGGAAGTATGTAATTATCCATGTCAAATGCCTTTTTTGTTTGTTATGTTTCTGAGAAATTGATGGTGGCTTTGCTTTTTCTAGGTAGTGGTACTAGGAACTTCTTTTCTCTTTTTCTGTCTCTCAGCTAACTACTTCTTTGTCAGGGTGAGCTTGCCTTGGCATTTGGTGACTTAATAAGGAAGTTATGGACTCCTGGAGCAACTCCAGTGGCACCAAGAGTGTTCAAATCAAAGCTTGCTCGTTTTGCCCCTCAGTTCAGTGGCTTTAACCAACATGATTCTCAAGTAAAGTTTTATTTTTCTTTTTATTTTTTTCCACCACAGAAAAAAATGATGTTCTTATGAATTTTGGACTTGATGGTGTCTAGATGGAAATATTTGTTAATATGGTTAAGTTATTGCCTTTTAGGAGCTTCTTGCTTTCTTATTGGATGGTCTCCATGAAGATCTGAATCGTGTAAAACACAAGCCTTATATAGAAGCTAAGGATGCAGATGGTCGTCCAGATGAAGAAGTTGCTGATGAATATTGGCGGAATCATCTTGCTCGCAATGATTCGATTATAGTTGATATATGCCAAGTGAGTATTCTTTTCAGGTTTTGTCTAAACATGTTTTTAACTTTTTAGTCTCTATACTGTTGTTTTGCTATCATGGTTCCATGCTGAACTTGCTTCAAAATTTTATTATTGTTAACATTATTGTGCCTTAGATATGTTTTTTTTTGTTATTGTTATATTTCCTTATAGCACTCAAACGAGCTTGGGCAACTTTATAATTTCTCTTATTATTTGTAGTCTCTTATTAATAAATGGTTTGAGTGAGGTGTGGACATCACACTTTTCCTTAATTATTTTTTTTTCATCGTTTATTCTAAATGCCTGTTCTTCTCCATCTCTTCTTGACAAACCTTAGAAAGTTAACAATGTTGGACCAGAGCAGGTTATTGGCTGCACCACTGGACGCTGCTATTCTATCTTTACCCCTTCAAATCTGTTTGAAGAACAAATCTGACATCACCATGCCATACAGGTGATGTCAGGTCCTGCATGGTCAGCTCTTTTAACCTCATGAGAGAGGAAGTTTTATGGGGACTATATATGATTTTTAAATGATTTTTGAAGGTAGTATATCATTTTCCATGATTTTTTTTTTGAGAAAATAGAATTCAGTTTAGTGTTCTTGGATGGTTGTTTCCTTGTAGATTGGTTTTGGAAGAATCAGATGCATATTTATTTGATCCAGAGCATATATGTGGAGATGCAGGGAGTTGTTTCGAGTTGATAAGAGCAGTACTGAATTTTTTAGAAGTCTCCATATGTTACTGGCAGCCATGAAAAACCCTTCTATTTGGACTGTTATGTAGGAAGGAAGAGCAGTGCATGCATTGCTGGTAGCAACTGGTCAGTTCTCAGTTGAGGGCCATACTGACTGCATCACTAGCTAGTTGTTTGATACTCATGATGCAGTTGCCTAGGATGACTAAGCTTTGACTAGGTTGACTAGTCGATTAATGACTTGTCAACTTAGCCTACCACAGTCATTTTAAAGCTTTATTTGTTTGTATCTCTAATCATTTAAAATAATTTATGTTTGCATCTCTAATTATTTAAAATAATGTAGAATATGTTTTCATTTTATTATACTCAAACTGCTGCTTTAAATATTTGTATTGGAATATAAAATACATAAAAACATGAAATAAAAAAGGCAGTGGATGGGTTCTTTTATGTTTCCTTCCAATCGGTAGTGTGTCGGTATGTAGTTGCCACAAACAGCAGGCGCATCTAATGGCCAAGGATGCACTCTTCTTTGAAAAAAAACGGTTGTGGTTCCCAATCTTATTCTTTCCAGCCTAACTTTTTCTTTGTTTGCAAATAAAAGCTGTCAACTAAATGTACAATATCCTTCTTTTCTTTGCATACTTTTTTTTTGATAGATAAAATTCAATTGATTTCATTAGAAGCAACTGATAAATAGTTCGTTACAAGCATCCCAATATGAGGCGCGAGGTGCAGCCTCACTCATTGATACAGAAGCCTCATAAAGTTACAATTGGGCCCCCCTAGTTACCCCTTGTTTAGCTAGAGAATCAGCAAAAGCATTTGCCTCCCTCCCCACCCACTGTATAGTTACCTCCAGCTGCTGCGTTAACCATTTGAATTTCTTCAATTCATTTCTGTAAACCCAGGTCACTGAATCTGGGTTTTTTTGCATACTTGTAGTTCATATTAACTTATTTAGGAGATTGTACCAGTATCTTTAATTTAGAACATATATTTTCTTTGTTGACTAATCGTGTCCAGGCATCGACTAATCATTGTATCAACTAGAAAGGCAAAATGACTATTCATCACTTTATTGTATTGATAACACTATCGATGGTATTCCAGAATATAAACCCAGCATTATCCGTTGTGCTTGCAAGTGTGTTTGAGGACTGGTAGATATCCCCAATTTTGCTCATGTGTTGGACCGACAATTTATTGCTCTAAGAAATTTTAGTATTGGTTATACACAGTTTTAGAAACTAGACATGTCAGAAAATAGATGTATGCGAGTGTCATATACTGCATTGGGTTCCAATAAATCCATGGGCATTGATCAGCCCCAAAGCAATTGATAGTGCAAATCACTACTGATAAGTTTAATGGGAAGAACCATTTGGAGTGATTTCAATCTGCAATCATGTTTATTGGTAGATGTAGTAATATTTAGTCTTAAGGGTTGAGTTGGGTATGCTGGCATAAACCATTCTTATTTATTACTTCTTAAAAAAAGGTAAAGTTACACTTCTACCCTCCATTACAAAGAAATATTTAGACTACTCCCCCAGAGTGGAACATAGATGTCAGTCATGCTCAAATTGTCTAATATAGTGTCCGGTTTCTTCTTTACTAAGCCTTTTGTCAAAAAATCAGCAAGTTGGTCTTTAGTCCTAACATATGGAAAGAAAATATCATTCCTGTCAATCTTCTCCCTTATAAAATACCTATCAATTTCCACATATTTAGTTTGATTGTGTTGCACGGGGTTGTGAGCAATGCTTTTAGCTATTTTGTTGTTACAATACAGCTTCATGGGATCCTTAGATTCTATACTAAGCTCTTGCAAAAACATTTTTAACCACAACTCTGATATCCCATTGGCCATAGACCTAAATTCAGCTTCCACACTAGACCGGGCCACAAGATTCTGATCTCTTAGGAAGATTCTGACTGATTAGTTATTGTTATATTTTGTTATATTTGATTAACTGCATAATTCGGGGAAGAAAGTTGTGGATTTACCAATATTGAGAATTTTGGGGTTGAGATGGACACCTTAACCCAATTTCTCCATCTCCTAAAATTCATACTACCCAGGAAATAATCCACTAACTACTTGTTAGCGTAGGGGTATTTCTGTCTTTATACCTAGATTAATGTTGCTGATCTGTAATGTTGTGTTGGAACATGTGCTCTTAACTTAAGTAAGGGCACATAGGTCTTTTCAGTTATGTTTTAATAATAATATAAATACTTCCTGGCCGACTGGGAGAAGTCATGTTGACTCTTTCAGTTCGAACCAGAATT